CTCTCACACACACACAGCACTCTCTCACACAGCACTTTCACACACACACACAGCACTCTCTCACACAGCACTTTCACACACAGCACTCTCACCCATCACTCACAGCACTCTCTCACGGCACTTTCACGCAGCACTCTCTCACAGAGAGAGCACTCTCACACACACACAGCACTCTCTCACACAGCACTTTCACACACACACAGCACTCTCTCACACAGCACTTTCACACACAGCACTCTCACACCCATCACACTCACACCACTTTCACACACACAGCACTCTCTCACACAGCACTCTCACACCCATCACACACAGCACTCTCACAGCACTGTCTCACACACACACAGCATTCTCTCACACAGAACTCTCACACCCATCACACTCACAGCACTCTCACACACACACAGCACTCTCTCACACAGCACTCTCACACCCATCTCACACAGGGCACTCTCACACGGCACTCTCACACCCATCACTCACACCGCACCCTCACACACACACATATTGCACCCCTCACATACACACAGAACCCCCCCAACACACTGCACCACACACATACACAATACTTCCAAATATATATATGTGTGTGTGTGTGTATATATATATATATATACACACACACACACACACACACAACACTCTTAAAGGACCACTCTAGCCACCCAGAACACTTCAGCTTAATAAAGTGGTCTTGGTGCCAGGTCCTTCTAGGGTTAACCCATTGTTTTATAAACATAGCAGTTTCAGAGAAACTGCTATGTTTATCAATGGGTTAAGCCTTCCCCCAAAGCCTCTAGCAGCTGTCTCATTGCCGCGCGTGCGCATTCAGCCGACGGGGCGGATCGGAGGAGGAGAGCTCCCCGCCCGGCGCTGGAAAAAGGTAAGTTTTAACCCCTTTCCAGAGCCGGGCGGGAGGGGGTCCCTGAGCCACATATGCATCACATTACACCACAAACACAACACGACTAAAACCGACCTTATTACACAATACCACACCACGACCAGCTCACTCTACACACACTCAATACCACAAGCAGGCTCCAAACACATGCACAATACTCTTTCCTGGCCTTTTGTCTCCTGGTATCCATTTATAGAGACACCAGAGACAAGTTGCAAGGAAAGACAGTGCAAGCATGTTATTAAATTTGCTTGCAATGTGCAGAACAAATACAGGACTTTTTTCTCATGCTAGAGCTCTTCAGCAGAGCTCTGCGCATGGTCTGCCCTGGAAGAGCATTGAACCAACATGCTCACTTTGAGAGGAGGCGTGTTTGTCATTGGTGATGACAAAACACACCTCCTATGCCCCGCCCCCTTTTTAGTGGGCCGCTGTGTTAAAAAAATGCCCGGGCCGAATTTTTCTCCCAGTCCGGCCCTGACAATGGGTAATGATACATCTATGGTATACCATTTGAAACACATTTTTCACGTATATCATTCCACAACAATATTCTTTTAAATAAATGTGAGGGAGAGGAGGGGGTGGTAGAGGGTGGGGAAGAGGAAAGAGTGGGGGAGAAAGAGGAGAGAAAGGAGGGGGGGCAGGGTAATAACAAAATAAAACAAATTAACATTGTTCATCCATCCAACAGGTAATCTTACATGAGTCAGAGCTTACTCTAAACATTTTGCCCGAATACCTAACCTTCATAATTGTAGAGGTGTGGGTTAAGCGCATATTATGGCTATAATCTGTTTCTTGACTTTAAGATAGTCTCGCTTAACCCACTAGGCCAGCTCTGCCTTCCTTGATATCGATTTGCATTGTTGTTCTGTGCATTTTTTATTTATTCTATTTGTCATTCACATATGTTATCCATGGTTGCCAGATTTTTGTAAACCTATCTGTCTTCCCCAAGGATGACCATCTTAGTTCTTCCATTACTCTAAAGTGTTCTAACTTTGAGACCCATTCCCTGTGTCCTATGTGTTTTGTGTTTTTCCAATTAGTCGCTATTACTGATTTAGCCGCCGCCAACATAAACAACAGGAGTGAGTATTTAAATTTCTGTATATGAATGTCTATATTGAGTAGTACCATAGTATCTATTTCACAGGGAATTGCCTTCCCAGATAATTTCCTTTATTTTTGAGTTAACCATTTCCCAAAATGATCTTAAGTGGCTGCAATGCCACCACATGTGGCCTATGTCCCCGTTTTCCTCACTGCATCGCCAACACCTTGAGGACTCGTCTTGTTGGAACCTGTGTATGTCATGCGGTGTTCTATACCATATCGATAGGGTTTTATAATTAATCTCGTGTAAGGAGACACTGGGTTGGGAGTAAAAGGTCTTGTTAAAAATCTGTTCCCATTCCCTATACATACAGTTTAGGTGTTTTTCCTATTTGTGTGTAAACCACGGCAGGCCATGGTGTATGTGTATCTGTATTATTTACATACATTTGGATATTGCCTTCGCCACTAGTGTTGTACTCATGCACATTTGTTCAAATTTGGTCATTTCTCTGAGAGACCCTTCGGGGACGTGAAGAGATTTTAGAAAGTGTGTCATTTGAAAAACAGGAATTTTTGGGTTAAGGTGTATGTAGTCGTCTGTGTTATGTCTGCCAGTGTTAATGGTCCTTGGATATTCCATACACTATCTAACGGTATGTATGGTGAGATTTCCATCCGGACGGTTATTGGGAGTGGGATACCTTTGATTCCTATCGGAAACCTCAAGTTATGAGAGATAGGGTATCTTGGTGATAAGCCTGGAGATATGTTAGGGAGATGAGCTATTTTCTTCCACACATTTCTTGTGGCATCAATAGTGTGGTGGGTAGGTGTAGGGTAATCCATGGAACTTGTGTATGTCCACGACAGGGCTTCCAGGGGGGTATGTGATATTGCTTGTTCTATAGTGACCCACCGTTTGGTTGGAGGTTGACATGACCAATCTATTATTCTTGCCATGTGTATAGCGTAGTAATAGTGGAGAACGTCTGGTAGTCCTACTCCCCCTCTTTGTTTGGTTCGCGTAAGTATATGATGTATCTAGTAAAGAGCGCCAGATGTATCTAGTAAAGAGCGCTTTGATAGTGTTGAAAATTTTTTGTGGAATCCTTATAGGGATTGTGTTCATTAGGTAAAGTATGCAAGGAAGAATATTCATGGAGATGACGTTTACCCTTCCCAACCATCTGAAGTGTGGTTTGTCCCATTTATGGAGATCATTTTGAATCGTGTTCAATACCTGAGGAAAATTTGCTTGATATGTGTCTTTTATATTGTTTGTAATATTTATTACCAGATATTTAATGGATGTTGTATTCCAATGGAATGTATATTCCATGCTAAGTTTCTCCTCCATTTACCTGTTCACGTTTATGTTAAGAGCTTCACATTTTGTAGTTTTGATTTTAAAGTTGGAGTACGAGCTGTATTCTGTTAAGGTCTGCATTAGTGGTTTTAGTGATTGGAGAGGGTTCGTAATGGTAACAATTAGATTATCAGCTGATACTTTGTACGACTGTGAACCTATCCTAATGCCTTGTATATTCTCGTGAATCCTAACCGCCTGGAGTAGAGGTTCCAGGGCCAATATGAGCAATAAGGATGACAAGTGGCACCCCTGTCTAGTTCCGTTTGTTATGGTCAGTGGGTCTGAAAGTATACCATTCACTTTTATCCGGGCTGTGGGCTTGGAGTAAATGGCATTAATTAATGCCTGCCAGTTAGGTCCAAAACCCAGGGTGTCGAGGGTCATCATTAGAAAGGGCCAGTCCACCCTGTCAAATGCTTTCTCCGCGTTAATTGCCAACAGGATGGACGGCACCTCTCCCCCCCACCCATTGGACCAGATCCAAGACTTTAGTAGTATTGTCCCTAGCTTCCCTTTTAGGCACAAACCCGGCCTGATCTGGGTGGATCAATTCATGCAAAAATGGTCTCAATCTCATCGCCATCATTTTAGTTAAAATCTTAATGTCGACATTTATCAGGGATATGGGTCTATAGCTTCCACAAATCTCTGGATTTTCCCCAGCTTTAGGTAATACAGTTATGATTGCTTCCAGGCTAGTTTGGGGTAGTGGTGTGTTTTGGGCCAAGGAATTCAGGGTTTCCAGGAGGTGGGGTGTGAGTTTGTCTATGAAAGTTTGATAGTACGTTGCCGAAAACCTATCTGGGCCTGGAGCCTTGTTATGTGGGGTGTTGCGTATAGCCTGTTGCAGTTCCTCTATTGCGAATGGTGTATCTAACAATTGGGCCTCTAAATCTGAAAGTTTTCTCTGGATATGTTTCCGTAGGTATTGTCTCATAGTCTCTGTGTTAGGTGGGGTGTGGTGTAGGTTATATAAAGATTTATAGAATTTACAAAACTCTTCTGCAATATCCTCAGCTGTGTATGCAGAAGTGCCGTCTGCCCTTCTCATTTTGGGTATGTAGGTGCGTTGTTGTTGCTCTTTAGGTGCAGAGGCTAAGAGTCTTCCACATCTATCACCATGCGTGAAATATCTCTGTTTGGACCACAGCATAGCTTTTCTAGTTGTGTCATTTAACAATATTTTCAATTCTGATCTTAGGGACGTTAGCTTAATAAATTCTGTTTCCGAGAGAGATTTTTTGTGGGATTCTTCTAATGTTGTGCCACCATTTCTATACCAAACCTTGGCAAACCCTTGCCCAACTCCTGCTTCTTCTCGGTCACATGTTGGATGAAGTCCTAGCTTGCTTAATTCAGGTAAAATTGGACTGGATGGATGATTTACCTTGTTGTAGTTCAAAGTCTGAAACATTTTCAGACGCATGATCATCTTGACATTGATGAGCGGTCTCACTGCCATCATATATTTGTTTGTGTACTAAAACTTTTGCATGTATATTGCATTGATAAAATATCATGCTCTGTGTTGGTAGAATTTTTTTCTGGATAGGTTTCTATGCTTCCAGGATTATCTCCGGATAAATTATAATTTCTAAGAAATGGGGAGGTGCATTTTGATTGTAACACATTATCCACCTTTGCTGCACTGTCAGCTGGGTGATCGTCACCTGATTCTAATGGCTCTTCTATGGGTTGGTTTTCATCTTTAACAATGTTTGATACTTCAGGTGTTAAGGTGTCTGGACCTACAGATGCATCCTTCATGAAAGAAAAGTAAGGGTTCTGAATGGATTGACTATTTTGCAGCATTTCCTTCGCTTTACGGAGCACATCCCCGGGGGTTTCATCAGGTTCCTTTTGGTCACTTATTTGTGATTCTTGGATAATTTTTGTTGTATTTCAAGAAGCACTGCGGAACTTAGAGATGTAAGAATAGGACCAAGCTGTTTCTAAATTTAGAGCACTCAATCGGTGCTCATTTTGTCTCTCCCCAAAAGAAGTGAACTGCAGTTTTACACCTTTTAAAGGATTTATTTGATCTCTCTTAGAGGTGGAAGATTTCACTTCAGGTACATTGAAAACTGGTGATTTTACGGAAGGCATTCTAGGGCTCTTAGGCTCACATCCTCAGCCTTATCTTCCTCCAGTTTATCACAAATATCAGGCATAACTTGATCTTCCATCGTATTTATCCTGTCCACGTTTTCTATTTGGTCTTTTTTTGATTAATTGTTGCTTAATTCTGTAATTTCAGAAAGTAAATCTGTTTCTAAAGTTTGTTGCATTTCCACGCCCTTGTGTCATGGGTATGGAGTCCATCTGTATGGTTTATCTTTCGAACAGTTATTGGCTTTGCCTGGGCAAACTAATGGTTTCACTGTGGAAGTAATGCTGGGTTTTTCCAATAACTCTGACTCAAAAATATTTTCTTGTGGAAGTGTATCACGGGAAAGTTCTTTGTGCTTTCTTGAGTTTGTATCTGAATTTAATAATGTTTTCCGATTGCTGCTGTTTTCAGTTTTTTCCAGGTGAATCTCCCTTTACTGAACTTATTACAATTTGTCTTATTCCACCCTGGATCTTTTTCTTGTGTTGAATCACAATGCCTTAGATTTCGGTTTCTTGCTTGTGGAAATGTATCGACATTGCCACCAAAATTCCAAGGTTTACCTTTGTATGGATTAGGCTGCCAGTTTCCTACACAGTTTCTAGGGGGCAGGACAGGAAAACTACTATTTCTGTCATGGTGCCAATGAAAGTTCCTACCTAGTGCCAACTAGTAGGACCTCCTGGATTTGAGTGCCGTGAGCCTCCACCATGGGTCTGATGACGGTTTGATGGACTGTTTAAATGCCAGTCAGGTCGGCCTCTAGAATCAGGAAGATGCCTATGGTTTACGTTTAGTGCAGGATGCTGGTAATTACCCTGCCTAGAATTGTCCTTCACTTTGCCACTGCCAGCCCCACAGTGCCAATCTTGGGGCCCCCCTTCCTTAAACAAAAGATGGTCCTCTCTTCTCCTCTGGTATCGGTCTTTTTCTTGTTCTTTGGATGTACAGCAGTTATCATCGGGTCGGTTTTGTTCTCTCCTTTGGTTAATTAACTGGACAAGTTCCTTGTCAAAGTATTCTTCCTCGTCATCATCTTTTTCTTCTTCTTTCTTCTGGGCATCAACATTATCTTTGTGCAGCTGGCTTGAGATGTGTTTAGCGTTTGTTGAGAGGCCCACCACCGTCACTCTTCATACCCGGCACTCGTGGCTGCAGTCTCTTCCCCTCATGGAAAGCGTCCTCTTTTTGGAGACCCCGAGGCTGCACAGTCAGGAGAAGTCCCAGCACCGTCCAATGTCTGCTCTGCTATTTCTGTGTGGCAGAAAATATGTGTCCGGCAAACCAAGCGCAGCGGGTTTCCAGGTACAGTCTATCTCCATTTCTGAGTGGATTCTCTTGGGCTGCAGCCGTGATGTGCTGGACTTGCCTCTGTCCCTGCTGTCAGCCATATCGGGAGACTTGATGTTCCCTCGTGGGTTCGCCGCTTGCTGGATCTTCTTGGGATGGTCCAGGTGGGAAGTGTTTGCAGGGACCATTCTCACACATGTGTGTTTCGTTAAGCTGCATGTTTAGTGTCCCCGGGCGGGAGTGTTTGTTGCGCGGTGTTTCGGTTCCCCAGCGCTGCCATTGTAGTTTGCTTGTGTGGGTCTCGTGTGCATTATCGCGATGGCTCGGTTGGCCTCGGGAGAGGTGAGTATTTCTCCACTTTGCTTTACTGCTGGGCTGGGAGGCAGGAGCCACTTTGTCATCTGTGGTCGCTGGGAGGGAGCAGGTCGTCCCCCTGCCCGTCACGCACATGGCGCCCGCTATCTTAAACACATCACCCGGGCCCCCCCCCAGCCTCGGTTGCGGCGTCTCGGTCTGGGCAGCTACTGAAGACACCAATCTGCCGAACAGGAACCATCCAAATGTTCCAAACAGCCGAACAGTAAACCATACGAAGGCTCAAAACAGCCAAACAGGAAAAACCATACGGAGGGTTTACACTCCTAGCAGTCAAACAGGGAAGCATATGAATAAATCCCCCCCAAGTACGAGACGAGGCTCTGTATTGAAGGTTAAGCAGGAATCTGGTTTAATGGGGCTACCTGCCCAGTATTTATGCAGGTCTCCCACCAGGTGGACACTCCCCTAGGGGTCCTGGTGGAAAACTGTGACAACTTTACACAGTAACCAATCACAGACATACCACAGGTACATTGTAATCCCTCCTCTCTATCCTGGAGATAATTGGGAAGTAATCCAATTATCTCTGAGGATAGAGGCAAAACACACATGATAATAAAAACAGATAAAAATATATAGTATAAAAACTACTGAATGAAATAAGCATGTTCAATATATCTCCAGATGGCTTACATCTGAGCGCACATTATTACCAAATGGCGATTAGATACCATACATACAGTTCAATCACCATGGAGCC